GCCAGTTATCTACCTCTTCATGGTTTTTAAAAATATTTTCAAATGGAAAATCCTCAATGATCAGGAAGTGAAAGAACAGATTAGAAATGGAAGAAAGGATGTGGGGCAGGTGACAGGAAAACGTAAAGGGAGGACAAACCCAGTCCTGGCAGGATGGGGTTTAAGTTGAAGGTTTCTGGGGGGCAGTTGTTGGGAGAAGAAGGATATGGGGGAGGCAGGAGAATCGTGAAAATATTTAGACAGTGTACTGCCTGTCATATCGTTCCTCCTCCTTTTGCCTTTCTTCAAAAGAAATACACAGGCTTACATTTCTTTTCATGCATGCTTGCCTTTTGTGTTTCTCTTTTATTAGTGTAACTGCCGGGTAGGTTTATCTTGCCTGTTGCCCAGAAAAGCCGATGGAGCAGAGAACAGCAGGCTTTCTGCAGTAGAGAAAGAATTTAATAAACGCAGAGGCAGCTAAGTGACCAGGACAGGGTTCATTATTACTCAGATCTACCTCCCCCAAAATTCAGAGGCAAGGGTTTTATTTTTTGTGTTTTGTTTTGTTTTTGGATAGTTTTGCAGGCAAGGAGCTAGGGAATGGGGAAAGCTGATTGGTTGGGTTGGGGATGAAATGATAGAGTCAGAGCTTGTTTACTTGTACTGAGTCCGTCCCTGGGTGGAGGCCACAGGACCAGATGAGCCAGTTTACCAGTCTGCGTGTGCCAGCTAGTCCATCACAAGGCAGGGTCTGAAAAATACCTTGAACACCAGTCTTAGGTTTGACACTAGTGATGTCATCTACAGGCACAACTGGAGAGCTTAGGAGTCTTGTGGCTTCTGGCTGGTGTCCTGAGCCTAATTTGTTAGCTTTGCTAAGGATGTCTGATCCCCAAGAAAGGAAGAGGTTTGTCTCGGGAAGGGGCTATCATCTTTTTTCACACTTAGACTTGAAACTAAATTCCTCCCATAATTAGCCTGGCCTATGCTCAGCAATGGACAAGGGCAGCTTGGAGGTTAGAAGCAAGATGCAGTCAGTTAAGTCAGATTTCTTTCACAGCCATAGTTTTCCTATGTCAGCTTTTTCTCACTGTCATAAGTTTTGTGAGGGTGGTTTTGTTAGGAGCAGTAGAAACGCAGTAGTTCTGAGATTGTCTTCTGGAGCCTGGCTGCCTTCACTTCAAATTCCTGCTTTCAAATCCTCCTTTGCTGGCTGAGTGACTCCGGGCAGGTTAATTGGCATCTTTGTGTGTCTGTTTTGTCATATGGAAGATGCAGGTGGTGATGTGGCCTCAGCCTGAGGTAAGCACCAAAGAAGTGGACATATGCACACTCATCAGCTGTGCCTCACATGTGGCACTTTGCATGTCAGGCACAGGTGATGAGTGCGTATATGTTACTCATGTTCATGTTAGCTCTTGTGTTTTGCCTGCAACACTGCACAAAGAGCAGACGTGATGAAAACTGGTTGTATTGAAGTCACAGCAGTGATACTTTCCAGTGGCCATGCACCCTCCCAGGGAGACTGCGGCAATCCTCTCACCAGCGGTGATCTCCTGGGCTAGAAGGTTCCAGGAAGGGCCCTCAGTCTCCAGCAGGTTTGACCCTCAAGGAGCTTCAGAAAATGGGCTTTAGAAGTATTTCTATCTGGGAGGAACTGGGAGTTGATTAGCTAGGCTCATTGC